CAGTTCCTGATTTGCTTTTCCACCTTTTTTCTTCACAGTGAATAGCATTTTCTTTTTCACTTTAAACCAAAAGCACTGAAATTAAATTAATAAGCATATTGAAATACTATATATGAATGTTTTTACTACTTTTTCCATGTTGAGTAAGGACTCAGAGACAGAAGGTAAGCTGTTTATCTTGTACTTTTTTCCTCCTTACTTAAAGTCAAAGTGAACTTTTCCAGTAAGCACAGTGGGTGAGATTATGATGTCATAAATATTAAACTTTTCCTTTCATTTCAGTGGAGTTAGGAGTGTTTATAATGTTCCACAGACTAATTTTTTTAAAGCATACAATTTATTTGCTTGTAGAAAAATCACACCCATAACTCTTAAGAGTTATGAAAACTGTGGGTTTCAGTAAACTGCTTTCTAGTGCAATGGTTACTTAAATACTGAAATGGGAGATTAAGTTTTAGACTGAAGGTTCTGCAGAATTTGGGGCAAGATCAAGCTACTCTGTTATTAGAAGTAAATAAATAAGACATTATTTCTCAGGACTTTCCATTCAGTTGTGTGTGGTGCTTAAATAACTTGAATTATTGATGTTTTGCTCCTCTCTTTAGATTTTTCAATGTAATCAACTTGATATTGAGAAATAACAGTGTGAAATTACAGCTAACTGAGCACTTTGGTCTGACCCAACAAAACATTTCATTACAAGCTGCAAATGAACAGTTAATGATTTTAATGAAGCTTTATGAATGCTTAAAATTAATCATCAATCATTAAACATATTAAAGCAGGTAGCAAGTTTTGCTGCTTAAAGGAGCCCTTTGACCTTGATTTGATGAGCAGTGTTTTGGATAATTAACAATCTAACCATCCTAATTCTTCATACAGCACCCAGCTGTAAAATGTTATTCCTGAAAATTGTATCATTGCCTGTACCAGGGGAGATGGTTTTCTTTTTGTATCTTCTGCACTCAGACAAGCTGAAAAGATTTTATGGGGAATTTAATGATGAGAACATTTGATTCATCTATTGCATCTAGTTTGTCAATAATATGTTGGCCTAATATAAAGATTTAATATATAGGTTTTCTATTTAATATGTAAACTCAATTTTTTATGAGAGTCTGTCTGTAGGAATTCAGGTGCCACTTCCTCACCACCCTCATGGGGAAGAATTTTTTCCTAAATATCTAATCCAAACCTCCTTTCTGTCAGTTTGAAGCCATTTCCCCTTGTCCCAGCACTCCATGCCCTTGTCAGAAGCCCCTCTGCAGCTCACTTGTAGCTCCTTTAGGGGCTGGAAGCTGCTCTTTTCTTGGAAGGAAAACATTCAAATTATTTTGACAGTAACCCAAGTCCATGTGATACTTAAAACAGAGTTCCAAGGCCAGAATTCAACTCAAACAATTAGCAAAAGTAAACTGATTTTCATGCTGTTGTCAGATGCTGCTGATGATAAAAAAGTGGGATGTTTGTTGTTACTCATCTCCCCACTCACTGAGCTTATGCACTGGTTTACCCTCTGAGTAGAACATGTGCCAAAGCAGCCCTGAATCCATCACCTTCCTAGATGGTGCAGAAAGGCTTTAAATAAAACCAGTAGCTCTGTCATGTGCAGTAGTCTGTATTAAGAACATTATATAAGGCCTGACATCTCCAGCACCCCCAGAACCTGGGGTTTCTCCTGCCCAGCTGCTGGAACCCAGCCTCGTGTGCCCTCATACCTGCTGTGGGATCTCCTCCTTGCCTCCAAGTCACAGAATCATGGAGCCATTGAGGTTGGAAAAGACCTCCAAGATGATCAAGTCCAACCATTTGTCTTGCATAGCCCCCTTAAGTACCCCAAATCCTCAAGTTCACATTCTTTTGCCTTTCTTATCAGTTGCACCTTCCCAATTAGCTCCCTCCACAACTCAGCACGTAGTTAATTCCTTAATGGCCCATCAGTGCTGGTCTAAACCCTTAGTTCTTCATCCCCACCCTGTTCATCCCTTGTCTGCAGATCTGTGTCCCTGTGTTTTGTTTATCCCTTTCCCTTTTACTTGTGAACTAAAAAACCCTGGATCTTGTAACTGTCTGGAGTCGGACACTCTCCTGTTCCATGTACCTTTGACAGTCTGTCCATCAAACTTGTTTAAAAAATCACTTTCTGTGCAGTTTTTGTGTGCATTAGAACTTCCCAGCACCTTGGCTGCCCTATAAATTTATCAGGCAGCATTTCTCATGAATGTGTATGTCCCAGGGTGTGCTAAACTGGGATGTTATTCAGTCCATTGCCCATCAAACATCATCTTGTGAAACATCAGTAAATATGGATTAAGTGTCTGTATTTCATGAGACCAATTTTAAATCTCATTAACATTTTTAACATTAAAGTGAGTACATATATATATATCTATGGGTGTATATATATATATATGTGGGTGTGTGTGTATATATATATATGTATGTGTGTGTATATATATGTGTATATATATGTATGTCTGGTATGCAGTTTGTGCTTTAAGGCTTCCCTGAAAGATGACTTCATCCTCATTTCTGTGCTCAATAACTCGCACTGGATCTCATCAAGTCTACCCAAATATTCTTATTTGCTTGTACAGTTCTTTCCCCAAGATTCTTCCTATCGCCCACAACCCCCTTTTGCTTCCTATCACTCCTAAAATATTCTGCTCACCTAGAAAATGCTTCTGTCATCTAAATATTTAATCCTGTGAACAAAAGGCTGTATACTAATTAAAGAGTGCTAGATCACTAATTATTGAAACAGTGACAGAGGTCCAATTAACTAAGCAGTGCTAGAGCACCAACTCAGATGTTCTGCTCTTCCTGGACAGAAAATTGTTAACACACTCTGGCATAACACTGGTTTGCACCAGCCTGTGCTCCACATAGCAACGTCTATATTTGGTTTGGAAAGCCAGTATGGACAAGGGTCCAAGGGCAACATGCTTGAGACCTTTCTGTTTCAGAGATAAAGAGTTTTTGCTGTATGGACACAAACAGGGCTGCTTGAGCTGGTTTTGTGGTGTTGGGGTTGTACACAATGATCCTTGTGGGTCCCAGGGGGAAATGCAGACATCCCTCAAGAGCTTTGAACTGAAACAATGCCTGGAGTGGAGGAATTCTGAAAACAGCTGTAATTCATCATCCCCAGTGTAGTTTATTTCTCCTTTGGGCATTACAGCACAGCCCAGCATCAAAGCCACAGTGATGATGGCGTGTGCATGGCTGTGGAGGACAGATTATGGATAAACAACTGCTCAAGATAAATGCCTGATGTCCAAAAGGAGAATAAACAACAGCGTTCTCAAACATGGCTGTATGTAGGGAACACATAAAGCCTTTGGAAAAACAAATTAGTGGTAGGAAATGAGTGAGTTGGCCAGGCCCAGCAGGGATGAGGAATACAGTGAAGGTGAGGGAAGAGACTGCTTGGGTCGGGGGCCACTTTCTGACTTCCCACCAAAACTAACTGAGAGCTAAAAATGATCTGTGATGCAAGGGGGAAAATGTGCTCAAAACTAAAAGAGGGTCTCAGTGCTGAAATATCACACTGGGCTTTTTATGGCTCCCACTAAAATAAAAATGATTTGCTAAAGAGGACTGTAGGGATTATATGGGAAAGGTCCTGGATCATGCATTCAGTGGAGAGTGGGTCCCATTAGCACACCTGGCTAGGTGACCCTTGCTGTCTTCTCCAGGTCAATTCCTTAACTCTTAATTTTTTTCACTTGGCAGCTGCTCTCTGGCTGCAGTTCAAGGTGAGCTTTATTTCCCTGTGTGTCCCAAGGGGATTTCCCCTGACCATGGAAGCCAGTCCCTGGATTTCCATCAGCTGCAGACACTTCTTGTTACCTTCCTCTCTGGAAACAAAAAAGCAGGGCTATGTTTATGTTTATATACTTCTATTATCTATATTTATCTCTTTATCTGTCTATATATTTAACTGAGCAACTTAAGCATCTACTATGCTCCCTGATTGCACCTTCAACCACCACATGGATATAAATCATGATGTTCCACAAGAACAAAATATAAGGGACTGCAGTTAATGGGGATATAAAAACAGCTGTGGTTTTGTTTATCTATTGACAAAGATCAGTTCATGTCACATGGAGCAGCAGAAAGCTGGACTGACAAATAAATCTCTTACAAGAGAGATAACACAACATGTGCATAATAATAGAACATGTGCACCCACGCTGGCCTCTCGAGCCTGGCTCTGCCCTGCCTTGTTTTTGACTTGATCTGAGAGAACTCCAAATTTCTCAGGATTTTTCTGCCTCGTGGCTCTGTGAGAACCACAGAGTGTGGAGGTGTTTGTGTAGCCTTGGGCTCTACATTGAGCAGATGGGTTTTTCCCACATAGAGAATATTTTTGATCAGTTTAATGAGTTATGGGTATAGATAAGCTGCATTGATCCCAGATTTAGACACAGCTTCTTAGCAGATATTTTAGTATAAAAAGACATTTTCTTGGAAAAAAAATGCGACTATTTCATTAAAGGTGTTTCAGTTTCTTCTCAGTTGCCTGGCTAAGTTGCAATTTATTTGAGCTGGGAAGGAGTGAAGCTCTCAACCTCTAAGTGCTGTAGATTAGAGCATATCAATTTCTTTTTCTCTGCAGTTTCTGTGCTAGGGCAAAACCTAATGTGGAAAGGTTTTCCTCTATTGTGGGAGCATTATCTCCATGAGAAAGATTTGGGAGTTCTCTGAGGGAGCAAAACCTTGCAACCCAAAAGAAAGGGGATGTAGTTTGGTGCATAAAGGTGGGGTTGGAGTGTGGGAAATGAGTCAATTTATATGAGAGCTTTGAATCTTGAAACCTGTTTATGGTCTTTTTCACTCATGGAGGATGAAAAATGTACTCCAGGATGGAGAGTGACCACAGTGTCACCACGTGCAAGCCTGAACTACTCCATCTTCCAGACCTGGCTGGCTGTGGTGGCTACTGCTCTTTAGAATCTACATTACAAACTGTTCTCCTTCCCTTTTTGTGTTAGGGGCAATCTCTGGATGTGCTGGCAGGGCAAGTGACTGGAAGGCACGAAGCCCAACCAAACAGCTGGAAGTGGCAGGTAATGCTGGAGTCTTCTACTTGAAAAAAGCCTTAAATTAAAAAAAAAAACCTACAGTGAGAAAGCAACAGCTTCCACTGTCCAAAACCACACACACAGTTTCTGCAGAGGCATGGCATGGCTTGGGTATAAAACATGTTGTTTGATCCAGGTACCACTTCAGATTTCCTACCCCAGTGATCCAGGGTAAGATCCACCACATTTGTGGTGGAACCCTTATCAGCAGCAAATGGGTCATGACTGCAGCACACACTGCCTCAGCATGTGAGTAGGATAAAAACTGTTAAAACTCCTGTTCTGCTCCTCATTCTTGCTGCAGATGGGAGTCAGACCCTTTTCCTGCTCAGAGCTCCCCACTGGTGCCGTGCATTGCACAGCTGGACACCTCCCTGCTCACTTAATCAGGGGAGCTGGAAAACTGCTCGCTTCAGCCTTGATTTTACATATTAATTGCTGACTTTCTGGGAGTGGAAATCAAGCTGATTGCTGATTTGCATAAGAGGAGGTGCATTTGCATGAGTGTGAGCATTCCTCGTGGGTTTGCATCCTGAGAGACCTGCACAGAGATGGAAAGATGGAACAAAAAGGGTGTTTGCTTGCTCTCAGGCCGTGCTGTACAGCATGTCAATGCCATGGGACACCAGCAAGACAACACTCCTCTTCAACTGCTCCTGCCTTTAGTGATTGCACTTAAAATAAAGTGTAACCAGCTGGTCCTTCACACTCTGCTCCAGAAAGGTGCAGAAATGGAAAATGAACCTCTTTGTTCAAGACCAAGCTCAGCACTGCAATAGCTGATGCTGCACCTTCAGTTTCTACACCAGCAAACTCCAGGCAGCATATGCCTGATTCATAAAACCACTTAGAGATAAAATGTGCATTAGAAAAGTCCCCTAAAATCATCAAGTCCAGTCATTAATCCAACACTGCCAAGCCCACCACTAAACCCTGTCCCCAAGTGCCACATCTACACATTTTTGGAACACTTCCAGGGATGGTGACTCCACCACTGCCCTGGGCAGCCTATTCCAAGGCCTGGTCACCCTTTCAGTGAAGAAATTTTTCCCAACATCCATTGGCCTTTTCCTCTCACTCTGTACTTGTTACCTGGGAGAAGAGACCAACTCTCACCTTTCTAGAACCCTCTTTTCAGGCAGTTGCAGAGAGCAACAAGGTCTCCTCTGAGCCTCCTTTATTCCAGGCTAAACACCCCCACCTCCTTCAGCCACTAATTCACCAGCTTCCCTGCCCTTCTCCAGAGCCACTCACAGCAAATTTGGCTACAGTGTATTGAAAATCCCTTGGTGGAAGGTGCTTTGGGAATGATGACATGGGTGGAAGGTCTGGGCTATGCAGGAATTGCACTGCAAAGCATTCAGTGGGGAGTAGATCTTGCACCAATTACTCTGTGATTCATTTCCAGGCTCCCAGTGTAGGGATCCAGAAATGGAGAAACATTTCTCCATTTGTCCTATTCTCCAAAAAGGTATTAATCTGGTCTGTCACTGACAGAAAGGCTTCCAAATATCCCTGGGTAAACCAGGATTTATAAAAAAATAAGTAAAAAGTAGTATAATGTTCAGTATGTCACTGAAGTAAAAAATATAAATTTTAGAATGTTTATTACATGGAGTGAAGATAGAAGAGAAAGGGTGTGGTTCTTAGCTCTCCTTGTTCCTTCTTTATTACATGGAGTAAAGATAGAAGAGAAAGGGTGTGGTTCTTAGCTCTCCTTGTTCCTTCTTCTCCATGATTCTGAAGTTTTTAGGAGCACAGAGAGTGACCGGTTGAAAGTTACTCACAGTTTTAGTTACCTAAGTAGCTATAGAAAACTTATTTGTTAATATATAAAAATAATACACATGCCTATTGTCAATTGGGTAAAAATAGATATAAAGATGAAACAGCCGTGTGGTTCAGGGCCATTTTTGTGCCTTTAGAGCCAAGTGAGCCAGGTTATAGTGAATTGAACTTGTGCAGAAAGTCTGGAGAGACCTGCCAAGTTTTTTGATAATATCCTAATAAACACAAGAAATAAGATCCTAACGAGCTTTGGAGTTTTCTTCCTGACCCGCAGAACTGAGATAAACGAAGCTCCCTGTGAAAGAATATCCCGAGGGAGCTCGGCTCAAAGGAGACCAAAAAATCCATTTTGAGAAGTGCAGCATCAAGCAGAGAAAAAAGTTTCACTCAGGAACATCCTACCAGGTGGTTCTGGGTGAGCACAACCTCCTGGAGGTGGATGGCACTGAGTACTACCTTGGTGTGGATTCAATCTGCATCCATGACAGCTGGAATCCTAGTGACATTGCCAACAGGTAATTGCTTTTAGTGTCAGATTGTTGAATGATACTGAGCATCCTCTCTCACCAGCATTTATGTGTAGGTTAAGTCCAGCTCCCAGTGAGGCTGGATTTGTGGGAAGCACTGGAAGATGCTGCAAAGAAGATTTCCCAAATGGTTTCCTCTTTGGAGGTGTCCATGTGGATGATCTATGCCCTGTTTTACCCAAGATAGGAAAAGGATGGGCCTGTTTTCCTCATCTTGGGAAAAAAACAGATGAATCCAGAATGTAAAGAAGATTCAGGGGCTTGCCTGCAATCACAGCCCTGTGTACAACTGATGAAGGAAAGCCAACAGGAAAATGCTGAAGGACTGTCTCAAACCCCCCTCAGAGACATGCCTGTCCACCCAGGGTCCACCAAAATTCACCCCAAACCTGTAAGAGACTTCTGGGGAGTGCTATCCCTTTATCAGTCTGTGCCATGGCCTTTTCTTTCTTAATTGCTTTTATTTTCCTGTCACCTGTATAGCTGTAAGTAATAATTAATTATGTTTGCAAGGTGCTTGTCTGCCATCACACAGAGGCTGGAGCCATGATGAAACAGGGGTGAGGATGTGTGATTCATGCCTCATCCAGGATTTTCAGTAAGGAATCTCTCACCTGTGCCCTGTTTCAGCTCTGACATTGCCCTGCTGTGCCTCGGATCTCCTGCCAATGCCAACGGGTTCGCTGAGCTGGGAGCGCTTCCACCTAAGGGAGAAATTTTTCCCAATGACTATTCCTGCCGTGTTACTGGCTGAGAAGTGGTCAGTGGTGAGTGAGGGGGAAGGAGGAGGGTCCAGGGGGGCAACCATACAGATAAAGCTTCTTTCCTCAACCCCTGGAGCTGCTGGGCCAAGCTGTCACCCTTTCTCGTGTCCCCTCTGCTGTGCAGTGAGTGGTGGCAGCATGGACAGGCTGCAGGAGGTGATGCTGCCAGTGGTCACCACGATATCCCTGCTCCCAGGAGGGCTGGTGGGGATCCCAGGCAAGGACAGCATACTCTGTGCAGGTGGAGATGGTGTGAGGGCAGGATGCAGTGTAAGAGCTCTTATAATCAGAGGGGTTTCAAGCTGCCCTCTTTCTTTCTCCCTCCTTTCTCACCTTGCTGTGCCTCACGTTCTGGTTTTGCCATTTCTTCACCTGCAGTAGTTCTCCTGCAAATCTTGGCCCCTTTTTGCTGCTTTCTGCTGAGTATCTTCTGAACCAGGCCTTCTCCACATTCTTCCAGGAATCAGCAAGCAGAGAGAAAAACCTCCAGCTCCTCAGGGTGCACCTCTCCTCTCTGATTCTGGAGAGTAGATTGTCCCTGTCTCTCAGCAGCGTGTCCCAAGTTCCAGATCCTGGGGACAAGGGTGAGACTTTGGCAGTCACCTCTGCCCTGACCCAAAGGGTGAAGCTACAAGGAAGTTTTCCCACTCTTCCAGTGCTGCTGTTTTGCTTTGTTGTACCCTGAGCCAGGCATTGCTACATCCTGCTTGTCAACCTTCTCCTTCCCATCCACTCTGTTTGCAGCAGAGCTTGCTGCAAGTTTGGGCTATGTCCAACAGCTTTCTCTGGCCCAGAGGTGGGAAAAGAAGATATTGTGAGGTTCCCATTATCCCAGAGGATCCAGGTGGCCTCAGCATCAAGGCAAGGAGGTTTGGCATGAGAAGTCAAGAAATATTTGTTACCTCTTCCTGTATTCCCTTCACTGCAAAGGTGGCTTCTAATAAAAGCAACCATGTAGAGCCCTTAAAAAAGTGTGAGAAAATACATAATGTGTGATTAAGTAAATATAGGAATATAGAAACATACAGGAGTAAAGCAGGTTGTACAATTATGCATAGTACAGTTATAGGTACAGAATAATTATAGGTCTGTAGATGTTTAGTGTATTTTTTTGTGTGTGTGTGAGTGATTTAATTATGTCAGAACCTTGTTACAAATCAGGTTGTGAGCCCAGGAAGAGCCTTTATCTTCTCACATATTTTAAGTCTCTAGTGCTCCTTTATCCTACCCGTTCATTGCTCAGATAATTTGGCTGAATATTTCCTTTCCTTCCTCCAATCCAGGGGGACTCTGGGGGTCCTCTCAGCTGCTACAGGGATGATCACTGGGAAGTCCATGGCATTTTTGTGAGTTTTGTGTTGGTTCCCTGCTGTAACCCCTACCAGAAGCCCACAGTCTTCACACACGTGTCAGCCTACCAGGACTGGTAAATTCTCCCATAAGTTGTTTCACGCCTGTGCATCTCCCCTGAAAGCGAGGGGTTGGCCACAGGAATTTTTCCTTTATTTTTCAGAGTGGTTTTCCTTTCTTTCAGAGTAGTTTTTTGTTTATTAAACCATTAGAAGTAGAACAGGGAGATCTGGGGAGGTCTAAAATCAGGATATTTGATGCTACTTTTGGTGCAGTCAATTTTAAGGGAGCAGCTGCTGCCTCAGAGCTGAAATGCTCTGCTGAGGGCCACAGAGAAAATTCAAGCCAGGCAGGAACAGGGCTCTGTGTCCAAAAAATTATCATCACCATTCACCCAGGCAAAACCTTGCTGTAGGAAAACATGGGAGGAATTAGCTGGATGGGAAATGCAGCAAACATAAAGCATCTCTAAAAGTGCAAATCCTGCAGTGCTGCACTATCCACCCTCAGCTTCACATTTGGGAATGAACAACAATTTCTTTTCTCCATAAATAATGACTGGCATAAGAAGCAGCTTTTTCCCAGGCACAGGGTGTTGCGGAAAAGCTTCTGTAAATTGTGGGTTCTGCTGGAAAGAAATGTGAGGAGAGGTGTTTTAAATCAGTGTGGGGTAGAGAGGCCACTGTGGTCCATAAACCTTTTTGGGTGGGAATAGGTTGTTAGAGCAGTCCCCTGGCTCAGCTGGGAACAATCCCTTCTTCAGACCATTCCCTGGGATGGAGACATGCCTTATTCTGCCTCTCTGCTGAATTAATCTGTTTTTTGCTTTCCAGACTACGGAGAATAATAGAGAAGGATCGCTTGGTGCATGAATATATGAGATAAAATTAAGTAGCTGTGCTCTTTAACCCTCTTCTCATCCTTTCTGCACCTCTCTGGGTTATTAACAGCAAGATTTGGCTAATATTGGTGTAATAAAGTCTCAGTGAGTGCAGCCTGTTGGTTTTTTTGCTCTGCCTGGGGCAGTGGGTCCAACCCTGTCAGCAGGGAAGGAGGGTCAGGGAATGCCCCAGTTTGTGAGAGTACCCTTAACCTGGGGCTGGGCAAGGCTGTCATTTTGGCACCAAACCTGCAGAAAATGGTCATGATGAATTTTCCTCAGTGAGGGGTTCCTTAGGGATAACCCCACCAGAGGCAGAGGTGGTCAGCTCAGTGCTTCCAGGTCAGTGGGAGCAGAGCAATGTGTGATGGTGCTGGGCACCTGTATGAATGCTCCTGCCCTGATCTATTCTCACAGCAGCCAGCTGAGGTTTTGCTTGCAGAACTGGGTTCTCTTCATATTCCCAAACAAACAGCTCCAGTCACAGAGATGCTCCTAGAGAGAGCATTTGCCTCCAGTGTATTGGCAAACTCAACCCATAGAAAGCATAATCCATCCAACTTGTTCTTAAATTCACTCTGTACAGACAGGATGATTTTTAAGACTGAGAACATAGTAAAGGGTATTTCTTCTAGGCAGGAAGCAGTAAATTCCATGTACAACAATCCCCCTGTGCTGTTAGGTGTGCAGGGGTCCTTATTCAGTCAGCTGTCTGAAGTGAATAATATTTCCAAATATTTTCCACTCCCTATTAGACACACAGGAGAGCAGGTAAAGGGAGGGAAAGGGGGAGACAGAGGAAAAGATGCATGTGAACAATAAAGCAAGATTTGTCTTTTGATGATCTGCAAAACCATCCCTTCTCCATCCCTGGAAGAGTTCAAGGCCAGGTTGGATGGGGCTTGGAGCCACCTGAGATAGCGGAAGGTGTCCCTGCCCATGGCAGGGAGGTTGGAATGAGGTGACCTTTAAGGTGTCTTCCAACCCAAATCATTTTATGGTTCTATAAACTACAAAACCATCCTCTTGGAAAACACAGGGAATCCCACAACCTCCCCTCTCTCCCTTTTGCTGTGTTTGAGATGCACATTTATGGGTGAAGGGTTTCGGTTTAGATCTTTAATAATTTTAAACCACCTATTTTATCTCTCGTAAAACCTGCACACACCGGGAGCACAGCACCATTTTAGCAAAATCCTCTGGGGAATGCACAATTCTCTTCTCCAGAAGCCACTAGAGGGCATTGGCCAACCAAGGGAATGTCCCACATGGTTATCATCGACTGCTGAAGGAGTTTTGTGGGCCAAGACTGATACCGTGCCATGTCTCAGCCTTGCACTCTGCCCTCCGTGTTTGCTTGCGGACCCACAGATAAGCAATGCCACACAGGAGCTGCTTTTCACCTCTGTTTCCCAGAGCTCTCCCTGCAAACAGTTAAATCTTCCTTATAATGGCAAACGAAAATGAAACCAGGGGTGTTTTCTGTAAGGCTTGTGAAGGAGCAAAGTCCTGGCTGTATTCTTGGCTCTCAAGTTTATTATGCTGCACTTGGCAGTGTCTCTTGGGTGCTCAGCAGTTTGGCAGTTCTCTTCTGACAAATTAAAAACCCCTGAATATCAGTTTTTCTACCCCTTAATAGTACTGAATGGTTCTTGCTTCTTTTAAGACAGCACATGTGATTTCTGCTGCTATATCATAGAATCCCATAATGGTCTGGGTTGGAAGGGGCCTTAAAGTTATCATCTAATTCCAGCCCCCCTGCCATGGACAGGGACACTTCTGAAGGAGCCTGGGTGTGCCCTGTCCCAGGAATGTCCATCCTAAGAGCACTCAGCAGTGATCTGTCAGGAGCTCACTGGCTGTATTCAAGTTTTTCCTTTGAGCTGCAGAACGAATTAAAAACAAGATCAAAGTCGTTGAGAAATGACAACTTACAAAGGGAGCCTCTCAAACTACTTCCAAAAATTGCTCAGATGCTGAGAAGTGAAGCATTACTGCATCTGATGCCTGGGCTGGGGGTCTAACCCTGTGTGCTTGGTGTAAAGGGGGATTTGTGGATGTCCCAGGGGGCCCAAATTTCTCATCAGCCTCCATCCCTGGTCAGGGCTGGGCAGAGCTGGGAATCACTGGGGATGTTGCAGCTACTGGGACTACATCAGGAATTTAGTGAGTGTGCATGTGCCTTGCCACTACCCAAAACACCACAGCCATCCCCTCTTTGTGCCCTGATGTGACAGCAGTGACAGCCTGTCCCTGCTTCTGCCCACAGTTGTGCAACTACCCCTGTGCTCTCCACAGGGCATCAGTTGCTTGAAACCTCTGGTCACAAGCTGCCCTGAAATCCAGGCTGGACATTGCTCCTTTAAATCCTTCCTCCACATAAACAAGTCCTGGACCTGTTCCTACAACTGCCAGGAGAAGAAATCTCAGTCTGTACCCACAGGAGCAGGAGAATCAGGCACTGGAGACATACAGCTCTAATTCAGGGTCATTATCACATCCCTGGCGCCAAGAGCAGCATTTTCCTTCTGTGTTTTGCTGACAGGAACAGCTTGTGCTGCTCAGCCATGATTTATTGTGTAGGATAAGAGGGAGGTGGGAGCTGGCAGCACAGGGGCAGGGCATGTGTGCCTCTCCTGTGCCTCATTTCCCTCTCACTGTCCAAGAGCCTGGCTGGAGCTGCGTGTTCCTCAGCACTGCTGGGCAAAACTCTGATCCCAGGAGCCCACCTTGGAAAGCCTGTGGAAAATGCAGCAATCCACAGGATTTACTGTGTGGAGATGATAGCTTTAACAGCAATATAATATCCAATGGGATATCTACGGGGAAAGCACAGCTGGCCAGTGTTATAATGTTCATAGGGAATGTCCACATCATTTCCCCCAAAACTGAGCCGTGAGGGTGCAGCTGAACCAGGGAATTAAGTAAATTTTGGAAAACTGGTGCTGTTCACGTGTTTATGAAGAGCAGATAAATGGAGACAACCATGGCAACAGGAGAATTAGGTCCTGGCTGGCTCTACCAGGTGTAGGGTGCTCTGGTGAGGTGTAAGGCTGGCTGCAGCACTTTGGGATATTTTGGGAGGTGAGGCTGCAGATGCTGTGCAACAGGGGATGCACAGATCAAATATAGGGGTCAGTGCCACTAGAAACAGCTGAGAACAACTCATCCCATCCCATCCCATCCCATCCCATCCCATCCCATCCTTCTGTGTCAAAAAGGCACTACTCTCCTGAGGTCATCCCATCTCACCACCCCCATGGGTGTGTCTTCATACCCTTGAGCACCTCAGCTGGCCCAAAACACAACAGATCTGGGGACCTCTCAAGTCACACAGAGCTAAGCTCAGCAATAGGGCCCTCAGCCACACCATGGCTGCAAAAAAGGTTCTCATTGCAGACATCTCCTCATCCCAATCCTACCCTGGCACTGCTGTCTTTTATCAGGATAACCCCCAAAACCTCTGCAGCTGAAGTTGTACCAGCCCTTCACCAATCAATTCTTGCTCACTCTCAGGCAAAAAGTGATGGATATTTGGGATTGTGGCTACAAGGGGCCCTGTTGCCTCCTGGCAGCCATTCAGCTTTAATTAGCAGAGAGCACTTTGGGATGCTTTGACTATGAAAAGCACTTAGGTACTATTAAGTTTCCATCTCTATTTACTCCAAAGTAGTAGCCAAGTATTTATTTCCAGGGAAATGTAATAGATAATAGTTTCCTTTGCAGAGGCTCTCAGGGGAGCAGGTTTATTTTGGAGGGAGATCCTTGTGTGTTATTAATTCTGTAATGTTTTAACCCAGAGTGTTGCTCATGTGGTCTGCAGGGACACTGAAAACTTTCAGCCTTCTCAGCTGGGCTGACTAAAAGCCTCTGTGCTTGTGACAGGATATTTAAGCTCTGTGGTTGCAGATATTCCAATTTTGGTGGGTTTCATGCCTCTACTGATATAATGGAGTCAGGCATACCCAGCACATTTTGTCCTCACTCAGCTTCCCTGGTTAAAATAGAGGTGCATCCAATGGGGTGGTGGAGAATTTACCTTCTGGAGAAGGTTTCACCCAGCTGAGGATGTGTGTGCTGGGCCAGTCAAGCCCCAGGAGACCCCCATCTCTCCTCCAAACCCAGTGGGCCATTTAAGCTGTATTTTTTTTTCTTTTACTGTGATATCTCAGTGAGATATGTGGTGTGTCTGGTCCCACAGAGGAGGACAAGCACTGCCCAGGAGCAGTTTGGCCAGCTGAGAGGTTGGGAGAAGGAGGCAACTGCCCAGTAGATGGCAATACTGCCATTTATTCAGCAGCAGGCTGGCAGGGGTAAAACAAGCTGATGGGAGTGTGTGGATTACGCAGCCCTGAAAATTCCTGATGGTCATAGCTGTGAAGGAAAATCATAGAATCATCTCCTGGTTTGGGTTGAAAGGGACCTTAAAGATCATCGAGTTCCCACTCCCTGCCACGAACTGGGACACCTTCCATTAGAACAGGTGCTCAGAGCCCCATCCAGACTGGACTTGGACACTTCCAGGGATGGGGAATCTGGGATGGGAATGGTGAGAAACTCTGGGCAGTTTCTCACCATCCTCACAGGGATGAATTTCTATCTAATCCAAATCTTCCCTCTTTCAGTTGAAAGCCATTCTCCCTTTTCATTGTAAAGCCATTGCCCCTTGTCCCATCACTCCATGCTCTTGTCCCAAGTCCCTCTCCAGCTCTCCTGTAACATCTTTAGGCTCTGGAAGGCTCTTTATGCTCTTAGGTTCTCCAGGTGAGCACCTCCAGCTCTTCCAGCCTGGCTCCAGAGCGGAGAGGCTCCAGCTCTCAGAGCATCCCCATAGCCTGCAAGCAGCAGTTTATCACAGCTTCTCTGCCAGGAGGAATTTGTGTTTCCCTTGAAGCGTGAGGCTAGAGAAGTCCTGGAGGAGTTTCTGGGCTGGTTGGAGATGGTCCCTCTGCAAGGTGCTGCTGTCAAAGCTGCTCTCACTCTGCTTTTACAGAGCTGCACCTGGGAAAGGTCCAGCCAGCTGCAAGCCAGCACTGTCCCCCTTGTCAGGGCTGAAAGCAGCCGGCTGTGAGCACACAGACCTGTCCCAGCCCGGTGCCACCCCGCCGGCTCTCCCGGCCCTTATGGCACCAGCCAGCGCCGCTCCTTCCCATCCCTGGCATTCACTGACCCCACATAAACCCGTCCGTGCACTCCCCGCCTTGCTTAGGGCTTCACTGCCCTCTTAATTTCCATTTATTCCCTGTTCCCCCCGCTCGCAGGCGCAGCATCGCTCATGGCCCGCACGCTTTGGTGCCGAGGAGCCAGCAGGGGTGGCAGGGGCAGTGCGGGCGGCACGGAGCAGAAAGGTTCTGTCCCGGGTCTGTCCCGGTTCTGTCCCGGCTCTGTCCCGGCTCTGTCCCGGCTCTGTCCCGGTTCTGTCCCGGTTCTGTCCCGGTTCTGTCCCGGTTCTGTCCCGGCTCTGTCCCGGTTCTGTCCCTGTTCTGTCCCTGTTCTGTCCCGGTTCTGTCCCGGTTCTGTCCCGGCTCTGTCCCAGTTCTGTCGCAGTTCTGTCCCGGCTCTGTCCCGGCTCTGTCCCTGTTCTGTCCCGGCTCTGTCCCGGCTCTGTCGCGGCTCTGTCTCGGTTCTGTCCCTGTTCTGTCCCGGTTCTGTCCCGGCTCTGTCCCGGCTCTGTCTCGGTTCTGTCTCTGTTCTGTCCCGGCTCTGTCGCGGCTCTGTCCCGGCTCTGTCCCGGTTCTGTCCCGGTTCTGTCCCGGCTCTGTCCCGGCTCTGTCTCGGTTCTGTCTCTGTTCTGTCCCGGCTCTGTCCCGGCTCTGACCCGGTTCTGTCCCGGTTCTGTCCCGGGTGGCGGAGCCGCCTCCAGCAGCGCTGGGTGAGTCGCTGCCGGGCCGGGAGCGGGTTCTGACGCCGGGCTCCGTGACTCCAGACCTGGCGCCGCCCGGAATCAGTCCCGGGGACTTTTCTCGTCAGGAGCAGCTATAAAATGACGGATAGGATGGACTTTAGCTCCGTCAGAGGAAAAACAAACAAACCAACCAAAAAAACCCGAACAACCAGGAGCTGCAAGGTGAAGGCAGGGGTCCTGTGCTTGCCTTGCAGGCAGGAGATTTGGGGGAAATCTTTCCTCGTCACTTTGGCTGATAGAAGGAAAAGGACAGGTTTGTAAAGCGTGTCTGAGCAGAGTGACACTGCAGTGGGAAAGGGTCTTAGATCTTCGGCAGAGGCAAAAAGAAACATTCCTGGGGCTCCAAGACCCGTGTGACTGCAACATGCGCTTCCTCTGCACATCCAAGAACATTTTCCATGGAATTCAGCAGAAGTTTGCTAGAGCTGAGGCTTTAACTCAGACCTGGAGGCCAGCTTGGCTTTCCCAGGGAAAGGGCACTGCAGAATCGCCAAATATTGACATGTTCCCATTTGAGTTTCGTCACTGGGATGGGAAAAACCTCAAGGTCCTGCACCTGGGTCAGGGCAGTCCCAAACACAGACATAGGTTTGGTGGAGAATGGATGCAGAGCAGCCCTGGGGAGAAGAGTGTTGATAGATGAAAGGCTGGACACAATCTGGCAATGTGCACTGGCAGCCCAGGAAGGCCCAGCCACATTCTGGGCTGCATCCAAAGCAGCGTGCCTAAAGGAGCTGGAGAGGGACTTTGGCCAAGGACACGGAGTGATAGGACAGAGAAGCTGGCTTTAAACTGACAGAGGACAAATTACATTAGATATTAGGAGGAAATTAATTACTCTGAGCGTGGTGAGGCCTGCTACAGGTTTCTCAGAGAAGCTGTGAATGCCCCATTCCTGGAAGTGTTCCAAGCCACGCTGGATGAGGCTTAGGGCAACGTGGTGAAGTGAAAGGCATCAGGAGAGAGGTTGAACTAGGTGGTCTTTAACATAATCCCTTCCAACCCAAAGCATTTTAGGATTCTGTGATTCCCTGTGGGGATGCCCATGCCAGAGGCTGGTTGATGGGATGCAGCACCTTGGGGCTGTTTCAGCACTGGCCATTGGGCGTGATGGGTCCTCTGGAGATGATGTCTTGTGCCAGGGCTTGACACAAAGTCATCACCGTGAGCCAAAAACCCACCAGTGCTGCAGCTGGAGCTGTATGTTGGGGACTATTCCTCTCCCAGTCAAAAAAAAGTTATTGTAAGAGGGAATGACAGACATAAAGCCTATAAAATAAAAATAAATTAAAAAAAACACCAAAAACTCAAAAAAAACCCAAACCTAATACACATCCCTCTGGGTAGGTAAACAGGCTGAGCTTCACCTCATGTTGCAGAGCCTCCATGGGTGAGCCTCTTATTCAGTATTTCTGCTTTTACAGCTCAGCAAATAATTTGTAACAAATAGTTTATTCAATTAATTGAGCTTCTCTGCTCTGGGGGCAGATGGCAACCTTTAAAAATGGATTCCCAATGGAAAACTAGACAATGGCATTCTTTGGCCAATTTCCCTTGCTTTCAGGTCAATGGCAGTGGTTATGATTTATGCCTGTGCTGACAGCCACAGACCCATGGGAGAGGTGTGTTTTTCCCCATCTAGATTCCTGGGATTTATTCATCTTTTTTCCTTTGTACCATGGGCTGCTTCACATGCAACTCTCTTCTTTCTGTGCTGTTGCCATAACCAAGAGTATTTTTTCTGGTTTTCCCCAGGGGAACAGGACCATGGTGATGCTTCTGTCCAGCTGCATCCTTCCAGGTCCCAGGGGGGGCATGGGGCAATGAGAAATGGTTTGTAACCCATGAGGGAAAGTGGTTTCCAGGGTTTCCCAAGATTTCTCCTTGGTGATGTGGATGCCACCATGACTGTTGTCTATTCAATCATCCCTTAAAGACAAACAGCCACCATCCACAAACCCAAAAAGACTGGGAAAACCACATCCCATGCACTGTTTTTTACTTTATTTAGGGAAAAGAGAAAAGGTAATTGTGTCAGACAAAGGACATTAGTGAAGACACTGCCGTATTCAAACAAAATTCTTTTATTGAAAGTGTAATGGAAATTTCTTCATATTGCTTTGATGAAATGAGAGACAGCAGCTGTAGACAAATATGCTTTTTTTTTATAAACAAATGCAAATGGATAAGGTAAAAATAAAGCATTTTTTTTAACTTGTACCTTTAAGCAACATAATCACAATATATACACAAAGAAAGCTAAAATAAAGCTATGTTGAAACCAAAGCGTTTCAACCAATACATTAGATAATTACAGATTGTGTCAATAAATACCCAGTTTTTAAACTGCTTAACAGGCAACTTTTTACACAGATACCAAGAAGAAAAAAAAAATTATATATTTACAATTCAGTGCCCTGGGGGAAAAAAAAAAAGAGAAAAAAAAAAATCTTTTTTTTTTCTTTTTTGGCACCAACACAAATAAAAAGAATAAATTATTGAAAAAAAAATCCACAAAGGCAGGAGTCAATCCCAATCATTCATTAAAAAAAAGCATGTGTGTATATATATATATATATAAAATATAGGTATATATTTTATATATATAAATATATATATGCAGAGGAAACCTAGGAATGTTACAAAATATATTAGTGCCAATAAATACAGAACACTACCAGACTTTCAACTGTCAGTATTTTTGATGCAGTCTGAAGGATAAGGAACTACCACCTAGGAGATAACTGAGAGGGGGATTTTTCAGTCTAAAGAAACAATGACGACAATGAAAAATAATAATAAAAATAATAATAATTATTATAATAATAATAATAACAATAATAATAGATATATCCAGGAAATCCTCCATCTGCCAGTAGTATTCCTACAGTCACCCTCCTGCCCCGGGGGCGATACCTTGCAGAGACAGCGGCGGCGAGCGCGGGCTCAGGAGCCGCTCGTGGCTGTGGGAGGTCAGCTCCAATTCGCAGTTGACCGGCTCAATCCCAGAGAAGATGTACAATTAAATAGCAATAAAAAGGATTTTTTAAAAACCCCAAGCAACCCATGTTTCGTACGCCACAAGTTTCCCAAATTGCCGGCAGGTTTGCAGTGAGGCACCTGTCAATGAGCAGGTATCCAAGAGCACCATCCCTGTGGTTGGGGATAGAAACAGTTCAGCCAACAGAAAAATCCTCAGATCCGTGTTTCGGGGTTGTTTCCCTTGTCTGTGTGTCTCTGTACCCCCAGAAGTTCCCTCCAGCTGCTCCCAGGGCAGCGGGGCTGGGACACCAGAATTGTCTCCTCCTCCTGTGCTGGTAATGTCAGGAATCACTCCCATCACCAAATTCTCCAAGGGGGAATTTAAAGCCGGTAGGTTTTAAATCCATTCTTCTTTTTCCATACCACTGGTGTAGGCACTTAGTGTATCACTGATGCACAGAATTTTTTTGTCCAGTTACATCTCGTGGCCAAACAGTGTCATGCTCTCAGACTGACTTATATATAGCAAAAGGCCAAGGCAGCCTCCAGCATCCTTCCTAAACACAAAGATTTATCTCATTTTAGAAACCAAAAGCCTTCAGTTTTTCAGCTCGGTCTTCAGGTCTTCAAAAGCTGTACTCACAGGATAAATAACCCAATGAACTTCATTTCCATCTGTTTTGCTTGAATTACTCGATTCACCTATGTAAAAATATAGTACAATCAGTGTGACCCACTGTATATTCAGGCACCATAACTGATGGGGAAAGATCTCATGGCCAAATCCTCAGGCAATTAAATAAATTATAAAATAATTTACAAAAAGGGGTTGGGTTTTGTTTAGAGCTAGTATTAATGTTACTTCTTAAATAGTTGAAGGTTTTGCTTGCTTTGCTCTCCACAGTGATATTATGGAGACCAGACACCATTCTCATGTCCACAACGAGGCTGGGAGAAACCAAGGGATGGTGCAAGAACCCGTCCCTCCCCTCCCACGCCACTTCTGTTCAGTGTTTTTAGAAATGTGAAGTGAAGACCAAACAGCCAACATCATTCAGACTCAGAGAAACCAGGGTCATCTTCCTCTTGAAGACCTTATTGCCCTTCCAGGTCATCGACAAACCACAGTGCTATTCACGTACTACAGGTAGAAAATAAATAAATACAGATATATTATGCAAAAAAATATGATTGTACACATAATACATCTGAGGTATTACCAATTTAAATAAGGTTTCATGCTAGTTCAAGCTTCAGTGGCTAGTTAAATTCTGGAATTTGCAATAAATAGATGAAGAATGATTATGTATATAGTGTATGGATCTCTTCTGTAAACCTTGTCAGGTTTAAACGTAAGAGTGTGTTGGGCCGACTCTTACGCAAACCACAAATTTTCACAATAAATACAGCTTCAAAAAGTTGCCTTAAAAAGTTCCTGCAACACTGAAACATTTCTAGAAGGGGCTGTATGGACGACTGGCAACATTAGCGAGGAGTATTTTTCTCAACAGGTCTTTTCATACAAAACACAAGGAAATTCTCATGTGGAAGTCTTTCTCCCTCCCCACCCTTCCCCACCCCGTCATGAAAGTTTAGAAATTTTTGCACAAACAGCGAGAGAACTGATTGTAGCTGCAGTATGTCAAAATGTCCACGTTCTATAAAGACCAAAAATAATTTTTTTAGAGAGTCTTCTGCTGTTGCTGTTTTTTTCCTCCTTATATTTGAGTAGTACACCATCCTTTCAGTGAAAGTTTGCCTGTCCAACTGTTCCTCTGTTTTCCTTTCGGCATCAGTCCTTGCCCGAGCCACATGGGTGTTTCACACTTTCACTGTCTCCATCAGCGATGATTTGATGGCATCCTCCAAAAGCTGATTGTCTGTGAAAGGGGCTGGGGCTTCGGGGACAGATTCAGACAAACCAATGAGGGACTCCAAGAAACAGGAGCCCTGATCTCCAGCTTGCGGGAAGCCAGGGAAATTAGGCAACTGAAACTGTAACGCTGAGAAGTTATCCAGGTTCTCATACTCCTTTAAGGAGTTGTAAAGGGGTCCCAAGTTATAGTCCGAGAAGGACTGGAAGAAATCCAAGGAATCGGAGGAAAGGCTGAGGTCAGCGTAGCTCTTGGAGCAGGGCTCAGTGGAGGATGAGGCGCAGCAGGACAGCCCATCGCACCTCACATGGGCTGCATCCTCCAGCAAACCCCCGCTGTCCTGGTTGGCATTCTCATCCAGGCACTCCGAAAGGTGGGGCAAGTGGCCAGGGACAGGCTTGGCCTCGCTGCCGTGGTCCTCGATGAAGAAGTCGGTGGGGTGGAAGCAGCCGAGGTCATCCTGGCCACGCCCGCTCTCCTCCTCGGCGTCCGAGTCATTGAAGTGGAGGATGCGCGCCAAGCCATCGTCGTCCACGTCCGACTGGGATTTGTCAGAGGGGAGGCTCTCGTAGGGCTCCTCCAGGTCCTCGCTGGGGTGGGAGGAGATGGAGGAGTCTGTCATGTCACTGCTGCAGCTGTTCTCCCCCAGGGCCTCCAGGTCAGGGCTGAACTGGAAGGCAGGTGCCAGCGGCACCGCACGCTCCTCCAAGGAGCCCTTCCCCGCCGCGCATCCCAGCGGTGGGAGCCGCTCCCGGAAAGGGGGCTCAGCCTCCGCCACCTTCTCGCTGCTCTGCTGCTGCTTCTCCAGCTCCAGCTTCATGATGGTGTGGATGAAATGTGTCTGCACTCGGGCCTGGTTGAACTCGATCCTGCCCTCGGTGTTGCCACAGCCGTCCTTGGTGCAGCCGCAGGGGAAGGAGGTGTGATCCATCTGGCACAGGGAGAAGCAGAGGGGGGGATTAGGATTGACCCCAACAGCATAAAACCAAAATTGTCCGTGACTTGTCTGCCCTGAGAGACCAAGTTAAAAAAAAAGGCACCCTGCTCTTTTGAAGAGGTGCCATAAAAAGCTTGATTTCAGTACAAGCAAAGAAAATTAAAAGATTAAAAAAAAAAAAAAAAAGCAAAATATAATGGTCCAAAAGGAGACATATGGTGGGGTCAAAAGTGAGTTGTTTCTTTATTGCTATTAAATGATCACACTATCTGATCTGCAGCAGCCACTAGAGGGGGGCTGTGACACACACATGGAGCACCCATGTGCACCCACCTCCGCCACCCCCTGCCTCCAAACACGGCACCGTGGGAGCGAGCGGCACCCAGAATAGGGAATGAGGTTCCCCAAATACAGCTGGGCAGGCACCTGCAAAAAATACCCTGAAATATATAACTCACTAATTGAATACAGAGGGATTATCCCACTGTGCAGGTGGCCTGCACAGCTCACTGTGAGCTGAGGCTCATCTGACACTCCCACGTTTGCCTGAGCGTGCTGGGATTTGTGGCACACAGCAAAAGAAAAAAGAATTAAAAATAAAACCTGGGGGAGGGGGAGAAAGCGCAGCCTCGTGTGAGGAGCAAGGAGCTCTTCCTTGCAGACATTCCCACGTGGGAATGTGTGAATCTCCAAAAGGAGATCAAGCAGGTATGGGTCTCATGGGGACATACAGCGAGGACATTGTCACTGCAGGCTCTGGCAGTGTGGGGATGGCTGTACGTGTGATTTGGGAAGAGGACGCTTTGGAGCAGTGTCTGCCTTGCAGCCTGAGGGATGCTCCAAGAGCTTTCCTCACCTCCAAGCGCAGGAGGGAGCAGATGGGTTCACTGGCTGCCCCAGCTTTGACCAAAAGCCTGCTCTAACGCGCAGCTGGATCCCCCCCGTGCCCAGGGGTGAGGGCAGTACCTGGCATTTAATGCCTGCCAAGCTGCAGCTGCAGGTCTCGGGGTCGCAGACCTCGCGGCAGTCGCAGCCGCAGTCCTCCCGGGACAGGCGGATGTTGTGCAGCTCCCTCTTCTCCTCCTTGTCGATCTTCTTCACCCCCACGGCCTTCAGCAGCGCGCGCCTCTTCTTGGCGGGGTAGGGCTGCAGGAAGAAGCCGTCCTCCAGGTCCACGCTGCTGACGTCGATGTCGTCGTCGGAGATGTCGTCGATGGTGAGCTGGTTGGCCTCTTCGGACTCCTTCGTGCCGTTCATGGTTAGCTAAGGGCAAAAAATGGACACAGCATTAGGGGCTTGCTTGGGACTCAGAGCCATTGGAACCCCCAGCTGAGGGGAGACAAGAAAGGAATGACCTCTCCCCCATAGTGGCCAACCACAGGATGAACATCTCAGCCAGAGCCCACAGAGACCTGACACCTGACTGGGCATTCGTCCTGGGATATTAAGTATCAAAATCAGAAATGAAAAGACTTTGGGAGATGCCAGGAAGAGTCTCAAGTGGATCCCAGGACAGAGAGGTACTACCAAAAGAGCAATAATGTCTTCTGTGTCTTTCCACTTTTCAGAGGTGGAGAACTAAATGAAAATCCCCCACTGGAGCCTGTGTTTTTTGGAGACCCAAAACAAGAGCTAAGGACTGATGCCCCCAGGTCTCAGAAGCTCTTACTAAAAACTGCCCACTTAACTAATGACATCCATCAACCCAGCTCCTCATCAACCCAGCCCCACGCTCTAACTCACTTTCCATTTCAACGCTTCCAACTTCTCCTCTTTTAATTTCTCTTCGAGTTTGCCCCGACGGACGTTTTCCTGCTCCTTTGAAAACTCTGCCAGCGTGAACTGCCGGGAGGAGCTGTGTTTGCTCACCATCCCCAGGGTACAGCCCCCACGGCTAGGCACGCTCGTGAAGCCCTGGCAGCGTGGGAAGTAAAACACAGTGACCCGGTCAAACTCCACATTGTTCTTCTTTAGCCGCTTGGATTTCTTCAGGATCGACGTGGCTAAAAAAGGGGAGAATTATAAAAAGAAAAACCACTAAGTCAGTGCTGCCATGCTGCAGATGGAATAGAAATATTGCCAACAGGCAGGACTTGCAATTGCTCTCCCTCAACAGGGATGCAATGGGACAAGGCTACAACATTGCTTGGTGGTGTTTTAGGAGCTAACACTTCCGAGGTGGGATGAGGATGGAGAGGAAGCTGCATCAGTCACCCATGAGATTCACCCTATGAGGTGGCTCCTGCTTCTCCATCCCACTTGACTTCCCCCAGGAACATCTATTTGCTTATTCTTCACATGTGGCAGAGCATAACGAACAAGCAACCAGCCATCCTGCACATCTGTCTCTCCAAACCCACTCTGCCCCACGCTGAGGAGCCCCTGCTCTGCTCCCAGGATGCCAGGGCACTGGCATTCTCAGTGCTTCATGGCTGCAGCTTTTGTGGCAGGGCAGAAAACAGCCCAAAGGGCTGCTTTTTCTGGTACTTCCTTTCACCATCCACTGGGAGGAACTCTGACTCTATGGTTTATTCTCAAGAGACTCATTTGAGAGCAGCTGCAAAGATGTTAATCTTTGTGCAGGTGATCCCCAGGTAAACATGGCAATACATGACTCTGGTTTATCTTAAACTGCTGAAACACGCTACACACCACTTACAGCAGAGCCTCTCCAGAGATACCTGGCTCTGCACAGCTGCACATGCAAACATAGTAGATGGAGGGGGACTAATTAGTCAGGGCAGGTTCAGAGTCAGTGAGTTTCCACGAGTGTGGCTGGCCAAGAAATTAAAGCGAGGCACGGCCACGTGAGTGTGGCAGGAACAAGAGCCAGCTACACCCAAATTTGTGGTGGGGAGGTATTTCTGGTCCCATTTGCTGCTGGTGCATGGGTGCTTTGGTTGCCTCCATGGAAGAAAATAGCCCAGAAAGGATGGGTGACTGCTGCAGAGCTCAAGCTCTGCTCTTTGGGAAGCAGAGCCACAAACAGCCTTACAGTGGGACCCAAGGAAAAGACTGCAACAGCTCGAGGGGCTCAGCTGGTTTGTTGAGCCTCAAAGGCTGTGAAAGTGCAAGACTGGACAGTTAACTGCAGCCACATTTCACAGATCTCACTTGCCAAAATATAGTGTTTCGGTTTCACCAGCTTCTGCTCAATAGCTGGGGGTTCACACTGGGCCCTGCAGTCACTCTGATCATATCTTTGCACTGTGCATTGCATTTTCACAATAACCTTGACTCAATCTCCTAAAACATGAGCTCTTTATCAGAAGGCAAGTTAACCACCACGATCATCTATCGGCCGAGCTGCTGCACTTTGGCATTTGCTTCTCTCTCCCTGCACCCCTCCTCCAAAATTGTTTTCCCATTCCTGACCCTTTTCCAATTGAGCCAGAGAATACAAAAAGTTCATTGTTTTGTCACAAAACCTGGGAAGACAAGCAAGAATGAGACTCTTTATTTTTACAAGACTTCTAAAGCCTTTTCAGACCGCTGCATGTTTGTGTATGTCGGCTAAGTGGACCTTAACTGCTATATACAGTGGGTGTTCAGTATAATTTACTAGGTTGCACTATTTCTCCTCCATGAAGATGTCCCTCTATTGTACTTTTTATTTTTCCCTTCACACGGCAGATAAAGGGCTTTACAACACTGCCTTCTGTGTGTTTTCCTAAAAGCTCTCAAAACTTACATTGCTGGGAAAACAAAATAGCTTTTATCTGCACTAGCAGCGGAGGCAATGTCAAACGTGTCATGTTCTTTGGCAAAGTACCCAACTTACGTAGGAAACAAGTTCTGAAATGGTAATTACGCTACTGGTTAATCATTTTTAAAAAAACAGCATTACAGGCTTTCGCTGTCTGATTAGGTTTTGCCTGTGAAACAGCTTGACAGGGAATTGAGGGCTGGTGGGATGGTCCTGCAGCACAGGCTTGGAGGCACCCACATGTCTCTGCACACCCATCCTTGGGTTTCTGCTCCTGGAAGCCTGGACTTCAGCAAAAATATTCCAAAGGAATAATAAATACTGGAAGGAAGGGTTGAGGAAGACCAGTGTGAGGAGGCTGGATTATAAATCTGATTATAAATCAGTGTCATGACAGGTAGCTGGCACCACTGCCACTTTTGCCTATAAAGGTGTTCCCCAAGGGGGTCTCTGTGTGGGGATGACCCACCACCACCCTACCAAAACACCATGCAGAGGAAGGGCTGATCCTGGGAAAGCCAGAGATACTCACGGGTGAAGCTGGACATTAAGGCAGAGCTGGGCTTGGGCTCTCCACGGGAATTCTCCTCATCAGTGTCCCAGCCTGAGGATGCTGAGGAGGAGAGGGGGGAGCAGGAGGAGGAGGAGCAGTAGGTGCTGTCATCCCCCAGCTCTTCATACTTCCTTTTCAATACTCCGCTCATGGTGACGCCGTTTTTGTCATATAACTGGAAAACAAAGGAATAAATCAACATGAAGCCAGGGAAATCCTGGCAGTTTCTGGTGATGAGCAGGACAGCTGTAACCCCCAGCAAGGCTTCCCCATCAGATCCAATTGGCCATGCAGATGTGATTCCCAAAAAGTGCTGCCCCTAAAACATCTCATCTCACTACACTCGCTGTGCACACCTGTGAATTTCTCTCCCATTTTACAGAAACTATCCCAGACAACAAACTGTCCAGAAACCAATCCAATCAACACAAATGTCATCAAACAGTAAGTATTACATTTTGCTTACTAATTCTTTTATGTTCACTCTTCACCCAGATCGCTTTCTATGCAGTTACAGCTTTAACGTTTTGCTAATTACAAAAATAAGCCAGTTTGCAGAAAACAATCTGTTGGCATGATTTACTCACTACAGCCCCCCGGGGAAACAGACTTATTAAATGAAGCACTGAAATACAAATATATCAACTGTGAAGAACAGCCCTTCTCCTCACGGTGCCTTTCATAGTCAGTCCCCCATTCAATAAGCTATTCTTGTTTAGGCTGGGTTATGTATCAAGCATAGAAGCAATTAAAAACAACGTAGCTAATTAAAAACAAAAGAGCTCTGTACTCGCCTAGATTCCTAAATTTCCCGCATGCTTTGCCCCTGCTCATCTTAAAGGAAAAAAAAATAAAAGAATGCCAAAAATAACTGCGTTGCATCTTTTAAACTTTGCTTTTGTAAAGTTTGTGCAAATTCAGGAGATGAAAAAAACCTCATAAAAGCTACAGACTTTGCCTACTGTACATTTGGACAATGCTGTCAGGCACAGGGTGGGATTCTTGGGGTGGTCCTGTGCATGGCCAGGAGTTGGGACTCGATGATCCTTGTAGGTCCCTTCAACTCAGGATATTCTATGATTCTAATGGACATCAGCACCCACCCAACCTGGGATGCTCCTGCACTGATGATGGATCATTCATTCCACCTTTTAGACTCTGGCAACCCCACCTCAGCTCCCCCTGCTCCTGCAGAAGCCACTGCCAGGTTATTTGGGAGCCAGTGAGCCACCCCCAGAGCTGAGAGGCAGGCTGCTGCCTGAGGGGTGACTTGCTCTGACCCCATCCCACCAGGCTGGAAGGCACAACCACGGTGGGAGGGATTCAGCCCTAGCCCAGGAACTCCTCCCAGCAAGGAGGGGAGAGCCCCAGCAGTGTGGGATGCTACCAGCCATCCCATAACACACAAAAGCTAAAGCATCCCTAGAATTTGGATAATGCTGGGACAGGAGACAGCCTTGGGATGGTGACATTGCAGATACAGAGGTGCCAGACACTCAGTCCACATCCCCTCCCACCACATGAAACTTCTCCACTGGCCAAATTCATTCTTTGCAACCTAAACACTTTCTCATTCCACTTTGCATGTCTGAAGTTAATTTAAGTCTCTGAAAAATAAAAGAAAAAAAACAAAACAAAACAAACCTACTAAACCTTCCCTTCTGACAGACCTGAGGAGGCAGCACAGACCACACCAGTTTCAGAACCTCCCCACTGATGGGATTTTCAGTGTCCCGACAGCACCAAGCAGTATCACGTTGCAGGACAGGAGCACGCACAGTTCCTTCCAAGCCCTGCACAAACCCTCCCTAATTATGTTTACCATCAACTTCCCAGGAGACAATAGTCACCTAAAAGGTCAAAAAAGTCCCTGGATGAAGCACTTCCCTGGCCTGGAGAAGTTAATCATTTGCTGCAAGGCGCGCTTACAGGGCCAGTACGTCGCCCTGAACCTGGGGAGAAGAGATCCCTCCATCCCTCCTCCTCCTCCTCCTCAGCAGACCTGGAGCTGCAGGTGGTTTTGCCACAGAGGGGTTGTTGTTTTTTTGGCCTTAATCCAAAATAGATGCAGAAAAGGTGGATTTGGCCACCCTCCAGGCCCAGCAGCACATGCCCTACCTGACACCTGGATTAACCCTTTTCCTGCCTGCTCCATGGCTGAGCTGAGCTCACAGGTGGCCACAAAACAGCAAATAACAAACCTTTTATTTGTATTATTTTTGTGTATGTGCCTTCTGCTTTGTCTCATGTTTGCTTTAAGAAACACCCAGGAGCAAAAAAACCTCCAAATCCATGGCAAGGGTCCAAATTAAAGCTTGGGCTGCAGCCAGAGGTTTGCAGACCCCACTGTCCACCTGGAACAGGCAAAAACTTTAAAAAAAAAAACAAATCCACATGTGGCTTGAAAGAGTATCAGTTCCTCTTTCTGCTGCAGAGAGAATGCTCCACAGGACAATGAAGGATGACAGTGAGGCATGCCACTATGGCCAAGGGAGGGAGAAACCAGCTCCCTAAAATGCCTGTAGGATGTCCAACAGCAAACACCCTCAGAGATGTGATGCTGACCACATCCAAATCCCATGGGAGACAACAGAGGATGCTGGGGCAGCCAAGAGCATGCTGCTGAGACAGGGGTAACTCCCTGGTCTGCACCAAAGATGCAGCAGCCCTGATGCTCAGGTCACCTGCCAACCCACCAGGGGCTGCACTACATCCCCCCAAACCAAGCCCACAGGGAAAGCAGAGCCCTCTCCTGCAGCCAGAGAACCCAGCTAACACAAACACCATGCCAGAGCCAAGGCAAGCTGTGCATAAGATGGTGCAATTCTATTTATTTATTTTTTAAATACTACCACCAGCCAGGAAGATGATGGGGGGGTGTGTGCAGCTCCCCATCTCTGAGAATGAGCCAAATGGACAGGGAAAAAACTCACTTTTGGCACGATGTCTTCTTCAAGACACCTATTGTTTTGTTAATGCAAAGGAGGTGTTGTGCAAACAGGATTCCCAGCTAATGGGAAAAAGCTGGTGAACCTGCTGCCCACCAGCCAAAATATCATAATTTTCTCCTGTTACACCTTCCCCCTCATTGCTGATTTATGGCTGTGACGTTTTCCAAGTCAAGTTTTCAAATCCATCTCAGGAGCGATGCAGTGAAGCTGCATCCATCAGTGTCTGCTTCTACCCTACCCCAAAAAATCCTCCAAGGGGGCATTTTACTGTCAAAGCCAGGATGATCCTCTACTCCCCTCCTTGCCCTGGCATGTGGAGACAGAATTCACACCAGCAATTTGGATGCTGCCTTTAAAGCCATGTCAGTGAGGCCACTAGTCATTCAGCCAAAAAAGCCCAGAGGCCCAGTCAGCCACAGTGAGGATATTTTAATTGCAGTTAATTCTGCAAGGAACCTTAAACCCACAGCTGTGTCTTACAAGGGAGTCCCAAAAATGCCCACAGTGGCATGGAAAAAATAAATATTTGTATCTGACTGTGCCATTGCAAATCTCTGCAGGCACCACTGAGTGCAGGATTTTACCACCTTCTCCTTCTCTTTTTTTTTTTTTTTTTTACATAACCTGAAATAAAATAATCCTATCTTCCTTTCAGTTGCCAAAAAAGACATTCTGTTCTTGGCTAAGACTTCTTACTCATCTATTTTACTGAAAACAGCTTTTGGAACAAGTACATAATGCAATGGATCAAACCCGCAGGAATTCCTCTCTGGCACCAGAACTCCCACTATCCTGGGAATACTTTCTAACAAATATTTAGCCCAGATGTGCATTCCTTTCTTTCTCTCTCCCTCCTTTTTTTCTTTTTTTTTTTTTTTTTTTTAAGCATTAAAGTTTGGGTGGGGGGAATAGGGGGGAGCAGTGTAGTTGGGGGGAAGGGAATCCAATCTGCAAAGTCCCATTTCTGGCACCCAGCAAGTTGCAGGGTAAAGCCCTAATACACTGGAATGCAAGGAATTAATGTTTTAACTATCCTCCTCTTGGACGACGTCTCAACAGTAAATATTTCGAGTAATTTAGATTTAAGAAGGTTTGGCATTTGTTTAGCCAAGTGTAGAGGAAGGCAACTAAAAACCTCTACCAGTGTCCAGTCTCCAGGAGACTACACAAAGAGGCATCGTGGCTTTGGGCAGAATTATGAGGAGATGTTTCAGTGTTGTATTTTGGGGCTGTAGATGTGCTTTGAAGCGTCAGGCGATCGCAGCAGTGCAAGCAAAGCAAAGGAAACTCCTCACAGCGAGTCCAGCAGCTGCCTTTGCTTGTGCCACAATTCCCATGGTATTGCAGGAGAACACCCAGAGCAAGAATATTTCAAAATTTGGGGGTTTTGTCAGTGGAGCATCCTAAAGAATGGCAGGATCCCGAATCTGTGCACGAGCTATCGAAAGCAAAGCTTCTTTTGCCAAGCGATTCAGGGAACACCAAGAAAACAACAATCCCTCCAACCCCAAAAAACTCATTTGTTTTCTGGTGACTTTTGGAGCTGGTTTGCTGACTTGAAGGCTCAGCCATCTGCCTGCAGCCCAGGAAGACAAAGTGGACTTATTGCAGGACATCAAGGTGGACTCTTCCCAGCGCACCAGGACGAGGGCTCGGGTGCTGGGAGCGAGCTCAGGACCGCGCTGAGCCGTGAGTCAGAGCAGCTCCCACTCCCTCCCCCTGAACCACAGTGGCTGTGCAGGTCTAGCAGGAGTAAATATTAGTTTAAAAAACACCACTGCATACTTCAGCCAGGTACGGCTCCAGAGGCAGCTCGAGGAGCTGCTGGGGTTGGTGTTTGTTCGCAGGCTCCCGTTTATTGTGGGCAAAGGGATCTCGGTGTGAGAATCACCAAAAAGTGCTGCAGAGCTGAGCTCCCCGCTCAGCTGTCCCAGTGCTGATCCCAGGAACACCTCTGGGTTATTTAATAATCGCCACGCTATCAGCACTGATTCACTGCTCGATCATTTAGCTATTTTAATTCTTTGCATATTTACTTAAGTGGTTTCCCCTGTGACAGCCTCCCGATGACAACACTTCCCAATTTCGGGGCTGACTGGAGCCAAGGAGAGCCGGATCATCCCACCAGGACCCTCCGGGGGACAGTCCCACGCGTGTTCCCAGCCACATAAAGCTGTGCTTTCCAGTTCAGACCAGATTATTTTCACCCAGCTGGGTCTAAGGTTTCATAACCTTGCTCTGGTTAAAAATAGCCTCTGCCTACTAT